CATCGTTTCGTAAGCTGTGTTTCTACTAATGGAAATGTTTTAGCTTTTGCGCCTGACTGAAAGTTAGATTTATTTTTGTGTGAGCGAATCGCAGTGTTTGATTGATGCAACAATTGTTTATTAAAACTAGGGCTGTCAAGTTAACATGTTAATAACGCGTTAACGCAAAAAAAAAATTAACGCCACTAATTATTTTAACGCGATTAACGCATGTGTATTTTTTTTTCCTCGGCCGCCCCGTAGTTTCAGAGCGCATCGAGTTTTAAAATACCATCTACAAGCTGATGCTGACAGCCCCGCTCCTGCCACCCGCTTGTGGCAGACCACACTTCCACGCTCACCGGCAGGCACCGACTGGCCGTCGGGAGGACCGGGAGGGTTGTGTGTATGTGTGGCCCGAGCGAGAGAGAGACCTTACGTGCATTGTTGTTTGTTAGCATCTGGTGCTAGCTAGCTGCGCTAACGGATATGGAGCTGTTTAAATGAAAACAGAGGAGCGACATTTCGCCACAACTGCGCCGAGCACTTGACTTTATGCAGGACGCCAGACAGTGGGGACATTGTACGAGAAGTCAGCACACTCAGCACGGATAGTGCGCAACATGATTGCAGCGTCCAAGCAGCTCCCGTTCGAGCATATGCCTTGAGTTGCACATAGCTCCAACGATCACACACACACACACACACCAGGGTTTCCGCTAGGATTTTTCCTCGCCGGTTCAAATGGCCGGGCAGAATTTATTTTTACCGGACAAATTTGAAACTTACCGGTGATATTCAATAATAATAATAATAAGAGTTGTGTTGCAGAGTTTCCGTTAGGCAGGTAATTACCGGACTATGAGCAGATATGCTGATGTTTAAACTCAGTTCACGGGGCTCATTTTTTATATTGCTTCAGTTATAATCGTAACAGATTCGAAAAAATTAAATATCATTTTCAGTAAATGATTCACAAACAACATAATTATGTACACTTCAAACAACTACTTGTAGTAGATGATAGTACATTATTCAAAAGTTTACATTAACTTTGAATAATAACACGGGAGAAACGGATCATCTCTTTTTCCCTCCCTCTCCCTCCTCTCCTCTCCTGACAGCCCGTCAGTTTCTCATGCAGCTCATGCAGCTCGCTAAACAGAGGCGGGGCTTCAGGTGATTATGCAGAGCTGCATGTCTCTGTCAGACTCAGTCAGCTGATCTGATCTCTCTCTCGCGTGTCTGGTTACACTTCACTCGCGTTATGTCCATATCGATCAGATCCAGCTCTCCTGATCGGGCTTTATAGAGGAGCATCGATCAAACTATTAATAGTGAAATATCGGCCGATAATGACCGGCGGCCGATCTATCGGAGCATCCCTAATTATTACCAAGACATTTGGACCGGCAGGTTTTGAATTTACCGGTTTTTAATAAATGTTACCGAGCTTAAAAACCGGTAATTACCGGCTAACGGAAACCCTGACACACACACACACACACACACACACACACACACACACACACACAAAACACACACCACACCAGTTGTATTGTATTATTGTATGAGAGAGGTTCCAGGTTGAATTGAGGCGAATATTTGTAATGTTCAGAGGTTGTTGTGTTTAATATTCATGAGAATATTTGTCATTGTTCAAATGATAATAAACATTAGCATAAAGCCTATTTGTCCACTCATATGTTGATAAGAGTATTAAAAACTTGACAAATATTCCTCTAAGGTACATTTAGAACAGACCAAAAAATTGCGATTAATCGCGATTAACTATTTTAAATCGACTGACAGCCCTAATTAAAACCTTTAACACAAAGTTAATCCTTGAAGAGTTTATTTGCAGTTATTAAAATGTGAAGCCACAAAAGTCCATTATTTGTTGGTTGTGTTCTGACATTTCTGCGTAGAGAAAGTTGTGTGTTGGTTGAAACAGAAACTGAGCGATTGTTTGCCAGGTGGCAGCGTGTCGGGACGTAAAGCTCAGAGATATTTATTTTTCCTGAGGATCTTCCTGCTGCAGGAGCTTAGCCTGGCAGAGACACAGTCAGCTCTTAAATCATTCCTTACAGACGGACTTTATGTAACTTGTTTTTACAACATGCTGCTCCCGTGTTTGCCAGTTTAATACCAACTCTCTGACTTCAGTTAAATCCTCTTTGCTTAATCTTGATGCTGTGTTATTCACCGTAGTACATTAATCTCTGGGGAGATGTAAATACATTACGTGTTTAAGCTTAAATAATCAAAGTTGCAGCAGGAAATCTCAAACGTGACATTTGTATTTCTCCATTACTGTACATAATGCTTACGGAGCCCAAACAAAATGGTGTTTCTTTATCAAGGCAAGGCAAGTTTATTTATATAGCACTTTTCAACACAAGGCAATTCAAAGTGCTTTACAAAAAACGAAAGACATTAAGAAAATGGCATTTAAAATCAGTCATTAAAAAGAAAAGCTAATAAAATAAACATTAAAAGAAAAAAGTACATGGATAAAAGTTACAGTGCAGTTTAAGATATGAATAGTTCAATTAAAAGCAGCGACAAAAAGAAAAGTCTTCAGCCTGGATTTAAAAGTAGTCCAATTGAACCAATGAATCAGTATCTCCGTCATGGAAGGATTGACGGTCAGTCTAGAAAACATATATGATAACATTGTTAAACAAGATGATATATTAAGAAAGGTCACTTATTTGTAAGAGAAGAGAGTAAACCAGCACGGCTCTCATCTCATTATATCCAAATGTGTAATAATTATTTGGCTGTTGGCTGTTTCTGAGAACCTAATGAGATGCTTTTCTCCCCCCGCAGGAGAGACTGGTGTTATCAGTCCTGCCTCGTTTTGTAGTTTTGGAAATGATCAACGACATGACAAATGTAGACGACGAACACCTCCAGCATCAGTTCCACAGAATCTACATCCACCGCTACGAGAATGTCAGGTGAGGACATGAGTGTAGTTTATTCATTTAACGTGTATGTGTGTGGACAGGGGTGTTTTCGATAAAGTTTGGAAAAAATTGCTTTTAAAAAATACCTTTGAATTTGTGTTGGACATAGTGATCCGTTATGACTCATTCGGAGGGAACATTTCACATAAATGGTCCCATTTTGAATTCTGAAAAAAGAAAAAGATAGATGAGGCATGCTCTTAAATGGAGAGGTGCAGGAATGAGTCCTAAAACCGTGACATGAGTCAGCATTTCAGCACTTCCTGTCTCCTGGTCTGGATATAAATGGTTTTCTGAATGTGTTTTGGGTTGTTAGCTTCAAATGAGGTCTGTGGTTAAAAGTGTTTTTACAGTTTCTTTTATACGACATAAAATAGTCAGTGTATGCCCCACTGGAGAATTTTAAAACTGCGGTTGCTAACAGTGTCAAATGAGAGACTTAATGTCATCACGCCCAACATTAGCCACCTTTAGCTTACGTGGTGAGTGAAGTCATTACCGTGCTGTAGTTCCTTTATAGCCCAATCTTAGCCACCTTTAGCTTAGCGGTGGTGACGTGAAGTCATGTGACCGTGCTGTAGTTCCTTTATAGCCCAACATTAGCCACCTTTAGCTTAGCAGTGGTGACGTGAAGTCATGTGACTGTGCTGTAGTCCTTTATAGCCCAACATTAGCCACCTTTAGCTTAGCAGGCTGGTGACGTGAAGTCATGTGACCGTGCTGTAGTTCCTTTTATAGCCCAACATTAGCCACCTTTAGGCTTAGAGGTGGAGACGTGAAGTCATGTGACCGTGCTGTAGTTCCTTTATAGCCAACAATTAGCCACCTTTAGCTTAGCGGTGGTGACGTGAAGTCATGTGACCGTGCTGTAGTCTCTTCAATAGCCCAACATTAGCCTCCTTTAGCTTAGCGGTGGTGACGTGAAGTTCATGTGACCGTGCTGTAGTTCCTTTATAGCCCAACATTAGCCACCTTTAGTTTAGCGGTGTGAGGTGAAGTCATGTGACCATGTGTAGTTCCTTTATAGCCCAACATTAGCCACCTTTAGCTTAGAGGTGGAGACGTGAAGTCATGTGACCGTGCTGTAGTTCCTTTATAGCCCAACATTAGCACCTTTAGCTTAGCGGTGGTGACGTGAAGTCATGTGACCGTGCTGTAGTTCCTTTATAGCCCAACATTAGCCACCTTTAGTTTAGCGGTGGTGAGGTGAAGTCATGTGACCATGCTGTAGTTCCTTTATAGCCCAACATTAGCCACCTTTAGCTTAGCGGTGGTGACGTGAAGTCATGTGACCGTGCTGTAGTTCCTTTATAGCCAAACATTAGCCACCTTTAGTTTAGCGGTGGTGACGTGAAGTCATGTGACCGTGCTGTAGTTCCTTTATAGCCCAACATTAGCCACCTTTAGCTTAGCGGTGGTGACGTGAAGTCATGTGACCGTGCTGTAGTTCCTTTATAGCCAAACATTAGCCACCTTTAGTTTAGCGGTGGTGACGTGAAGTCATGTGACCGTGCTGTAGTTCCTTTACAGCCCAACGTTAGGTACCTTTAGCTTAGCGGTGGTCACGTGAAGTTATGTGACCATGGCGTGCTGTAGTTCCTTTATAGCCTATCGTTAGCTTTTTACTTCAGATCATAAAGGGTTTCATATGTGGAGATTATCCTGCTGAACTAAATGTGTAAGTATCATAAACGTTCGTTTGACACAGAGATTATTTTCTGCAATAATCCAAAATCACCATTGGTTTTTTCCAGCAGGAGCCAGGTTGATGCTGCCTTCAGGGTCCATTACAGAAATATGACATTCCTGCACCACTCTATTGTTGAAATACTGTCTATACAGGATATAAAGCTAATTAATGTCAATTAAAACAATGTTTGCTGATCAAGCAAATTATCCAACGTATGCTAGTTTCTGCAGGTTCTAGAAGCTAACTGACCCTGAACAGTGTTGTTTCAGATACATTATTATATATAATTCCATGTTATTATGAAGTGTTTGGATGGTGAAGAACTGGATATTGAAGTGACATTTCTATATTTTATTCAGCATTCTTTTCGCAGATGTCAAAGGCTTCACTAACCTCTCCACGACGCTGTCGGCGCAGGAGCTGGTGCGAATGTTGAACGAACTCTTTGCACGCTTCGACCGCCTCGCACACGTAAGAGATTTCACTAAATTCATGAGTGTTTTTTCTTTAAATGTTTGTCCCGTCCCATTTCAGCATCAAACACTCGCACTATTACAAAAGAACATTGTGGTCAGTTTAGACCAGTGTTTCTCTAACTGTTTCATACCAAGGACCACTTAACCAAAAAAAAACACTCGCTGACCACCTAACTCCACAAATATCCAAAATCACATCGTTTTTCTAGAACAGATTACAAATCGCCTGAAAATGGTACAAACAAGTGGCAACATGTTTGATGAAGTGTGTGCGCTGGCTATATCATGCAATCAAAAGCGAAACTTACGCTGGCTCCATTGCGGAGATATTCCCGCGAGAGTGCGGTAAACTTAAATGTATTTATTTATTTCAAATGTTACCAATATACTCACGGACCACTAGGGGGCGCTCACTGACCACCAGTGGTCCGAGGACCACACTTTGAGAAGCACTGGTTAGACCCATTGTGTGATTTAAGTCGGAGTATATGGTGCTATTTTTATGTCCAAGTAAAGATGCCTTCAATGAGCATTTTCTGATCTGAAAGCTTTCTAATAAACTACTCAGTTTATATCTCAGACTTTAAATATACGATGTGTTTCACATTGAGAAAACACAGGATCGGATCACAATTAAACATGACATTTGCTTTCCACTCTGGTTTCTTGGGAGTTAATCTCTCTTCAGTGAAGCTAAATAAAGAAACTCCATTAGCCGCATGAATATTTCATTCAGAACAACAGAGGGAATAACTGATCCAGCGCTGTCTCATATCAGATCCAGCCGCGCTTCACCAGGCAGGATTTCACAGACTCGACAGAAAGCGTTTTCATGTTGTTTAATTGCGTTTTATAAGCCTATATATTTATATGTTCCATTTCGTAGAAGACAGAGGCGGTGCACTCAATCTTGTTTACCGAATCATTTGAAATCTAGGTGTTATTTCAGACCTTTTACTTTCTATATTTTGAATTGTATTGTAGGTGAAGTTATTGAAAGATGTGAGGATGTTCAGCAGGCATGTAAGGAGGAAACCCCAAATGATGAGATGAACTACAAAACGACACTATATTTCCTTTATTGACGGTGACTGGACTTAGAGACTCATTTGTTAATCAAAGACAGCTGACACCTGTCACATCATGTCAGAAAATACATTTTTAAACTCTTAAATACTTAACAACGCATGTTGTTCTGTCTTAGGGTTACTCAATCGACTGTACTGCAGGTTGTGTTTTTCGTGTGTAGTAAAAAACTTACAAATATTTCTGTAAATATCTTTAGATAAATCAGAAGACATATTTTATACATTCCTTTAAGGACACATGTTTGGACTACACATCCAGAGAAAGATGACACGTATAAACAAAAAACAATGAAGACAAATAATGGCTGTGAATCATCTTTGTCCAATCACATCAGAGAATGTATTTAAGCGCCTGACTTCTCAGAACAAAACAGAACCTTTCATTTTTATGACGCTTGTTCTATCTTATGGTTATTTAACTGGATGTGTGTGTGTGTGTGTGTGTGTGTGTGTGTGTGTGTGTGGTGTGTGTGTGTGTGTGTGTGTGTGTGTGTGTGTGTGTGTGTGTGTGTGTGTGTGTGTGGTGTGTGTGTGTGTGGTGTGTGGTGTGTGTGTGTGTGTGTGGTGTGTGTGTGTGTGTGTGTGTGTGTGTGTGTGTGTGTGGTGATGTGTGGTGTGTGGTGTGTGTGGTGTGTGTGTGTGTGTGTGTGTTGTGTGTGTGTGTGTGTGTGGTGTGTGTTGCAGGAGAAACACACTGTCTGAGATAAAGATTCTGGGCGATTGTTACTACTGTGTGTCGGGTCTGCCGGAGCCAGACATGGACCACGCTCACTGCTGCGTGGAGATGGGCCTCAGCATGATCAAAACCATCAGGTAACATCAGCAATATACTGGGATTATCTTTATGCTGCTTTTTGGGTTCTCCCTGTAGTTAGTTGGTTTGTGTTTAAATGGTCTGCAAAGGTTAAATGGAACAATCACGTTCCTATTGGCTATCGCTCTGACATATTGTAAGTAATAGACTGAAGGGGCGGGACAACTCTAAGCGGTTGACCAATCACTACAGAGCAGGGACACTACATACTGATATACACCTGAACATCAGCAGGAGAGGACTCTTTAAAGTAGAGTCACTACATACTGATATACACCTGAACATCAGCAGGAGAGGACTCTTTAAGTAGAGTCACTACATACTGATATACACCTGAACATCAGCAGGAGAGGACTCTTTAAAGTAGAGACACTACATACTGATATACACCTGAACATCAGCAGGAGAGGACTCTTTAAAGTAGAGTCACTACATACTGATATACACCTGAACATCAGCAGGAGAGGACTCTTTAAAGTAGAGTCACTACATACTGATATACACCTGAACATCAGCAGGAGAGGACTCTTTAAAGTAGAGGCACTACAGACTGATATGAACCTGAACATCAGCAGGAGAGGACTTTAAAGTAGAGGCACTACAGACTGATATACACCTGAACATCAGCAGGAGAGGACTCTTTAAAGTAGAGGCACTACATACTGATATACACCTGAACATCAGCAGGAGAGGACTCTTTAAAGTAGAGTCACTACATACTGATATACACCTGAACATCAGCAGGAGAGGACTCTTTAAAGTAGAGGCACTACAGACTGATATACACCTGAACATCAGCAGGAGAGGACTCTTTAAAGTAGAGGCACTACAGACTGATATACACCTGAACATCAGCAGGAGAGGACTCTTTAAAGTAGAGACACTTCATACTGATAACACCTGAACATCAGCAGGAGAGGACTCTTTAAAGTAGAGGCACTACAGACTGATATGAACCTGAACATCAGCAGGAGAGGACTCTTTAAAGTAGAGGCACTACAGACTGATATACACCTGAACTTCAGCAGGAGAGGACTCTTTAAAGTAGAGACACTACATACTGATATACACCTGAACATCAGCAGGAGAGGACTCTTTAAAGTAGAGGCACTACATACTGCTATACACCTGAACATCAGCAGGAGAGGACTCTTTAAAGTAGAGACTACATACTGATATACACCTGAACATCAGCAGGAGAGGACTCTTTAAAGTAGAGACACTACATACTGATATACACCTGAACATCAGCAGGAGAGGACTCTTTAAAATAGAGACACTACATACTGATATACACCTGAACATCAGCAGGAGAGAACTCTTTAAAGTAGAGGCACTACATACTGATATACACCTGAACATCAGCAGGAGAGGACTCTTTAAAGTAGAGGCACTACAGACTGATATACACCTGAACATCAGCAGGAGAGGACTCTTTAAGTAGAGGCACTACATACTGATATACACCTGAACATCAGCGGAGAGGACTCTTTAAAGTAGAGTCACTACATACTGATATACACCTGAACATCAGCAGGAGAGGACTCTTTAAAGTAGAGACACTACATACTGATATACATCTGAACATCAGCAGGAGAGGACTCTTTAAAGTAGAGACACTACATACTGATATACACCTGAACATCAGCAGGAGAGGACTCTTTAAAGTAGAGACAGTACATACTGATATACACCTGAACATCAGCAAGAGAGGACTCTTTAAAGTAGAGTCACTACATACTGATATACACCTGAACATCAGCAGGAGAGGACTCTTTAAAGTAGAGACACTATATACTGATATACACCTGAACATCAGCAGGAGAGGACTCTTTAAAGTAGAGGCACTACAGACTGATATACACCTGAACATCAGCAGGAGAGGACTCTTTAAAGCAGGGGTGCCCACACTTTTTAGGCTGGTGAGCTACTTTTGAAATGACCAGCTCACCGAGGTCTACCAACCAAAAATAAAATCCGAAATTGCAAGGGTTGCTGAATAACACCTTTTATTTATACATGGGATAATAGGGCTGCAACAAACGACTAATTTGATAATCGATTAATCTATGATTAATGAAACGATTAATCGACTATTCAGACTATTACTGTATGCCTTGCACAATTTCTCAAACCCTCTTATTTAGCCATCAACTTTTAGATTTAGCTTGAGGTTGTTTTAGGCATGTGGAATCTAACAAGACAATAAAGATGAATACTTGATTCAAAAATACATATATTATTAATTAACAAATTGTTTACAAAACTAACATTGCTTTTTATTTAAATAAAATAAATAATATTTCACATCAAAAGAAACAACAATGTTTTAACAAATCCTATTAAATAATGTGATGACAGAACTGTGAACAGAAATAGCTGAACTTTAACAAAATAAAGAGTAACTCAGTTTCCTCTAATCATTAACTCCATGTTTGTATCATTGAGTTAACTGCGTGTGTTGCTGCTAGCATACATAACACCTGACGTGGAAACATTACTCGTGGATGGGGGGGCTACAGAGCTGCTAGAAAGACAGTGGAACCCGGTGCATTCTCCGTCTGCATGTGGAGCGCTTTTGATAAATGTTTAGACACACTGCTCGTGTTACCGCCCTCACATGCTAACTCTCTTGCAAGGAGCATTGTCCACCTCAAGACGGGTAACATGTAACCACACCTTGGAGCGCTCTCCGCCATCCCCTCCGTGTGTTGCTGCTTGGAGCAGCCGCGTGTGTGTAAACTGCCCCGCCCCCTCGCGCACAGACGGAGAGAGAGATCTCGTCTGGATTGGAAAGGTCGAAAATACACCGACATTTGTTTGTCTTTTGCATGTTAGAAAACGAGTTGGCGACACTAAGACTGCGAGATAATGTTTGTGTAGCAATAATACATTGACCTTTCTCTTCTCAACTCGCTACTCGGTGGGAAGTCGCTGTCATATGCCTTGTGAACACTCCGAGAATGCCTCTCCACGTTACCTTTCTTTGGCAGAGCGACGCTTGCTTTACAAATAAGGCAAATAACCTTTGAATGTGACATCACAAAACAATATTCTTCCTCCCGTTCTTGGTGGAAGTGGTTTGTCTTTAGCTTCTTGCTCGGTCCGCACTCATTTGGTTGTTTGTCTCTTGTTAGTCTCTTTAACTTAATTTGAGTTTTCCCGGCACTTGACTGATTTTGTATCGCTTTGCATTCTGGGTTAACAGACTGGAAAGCGATAGGTCGCTTTTTCTGTCAATCAAGTAAACTCCTGAATTAAGTGACAGGGAGGCGGGATCAAAACCTGTTTTGTCTATTTTAACGGAACACGATTTTTTTTTTTAAGAATGACTCGCGATCTACCAGCATTGCCCCCGCGGGCGACCGGTCGCCCGCGGTCGACGTACTGGGCACCTCTGCTTTAAAGTATAGACACTACATACTGATATACACCTGAACATCAGCAGGAGAGGACTCTTTAAAGTAGAGACACTACATACTGATATACACCTGAACATCAGCAGGAGAGGACTCTTTAAAGTAGAGACACTACATACTGATATACACCTGAACATCAGCAGGAGAGGACTCTTTAAAGTAGAGACACTACATACTGATATACACCTGAACATCAGCAGGAGAGGACTCTTTAAAGTAGAGACATACATACTGATATACACCTGAACATCAGCAGGAGAGGACTCTTTAAAGTAGAGACACTACATACTGATACACACCTGAACATCAGCAGGAGAGGACTCTTTAAAGTAGAGTACACCTGAACATCAGCAGGAGAGGACTCTTTAAAGTAGAGACAATACATATTGATATACACTGAACATCAGCAGGAGAGGACTCTCTTAACTGTAGAGACACTACATACTGATATACACCTGAACATCAGCAGGAGAGGACTCTTTAAAGTAGAAACACTTAATAACTGATATACACCTGAACATCAGCAGAGAGGACTCTTTAAAGTAGAGACAGACTACTATACTGATATACATCCTGAACATCAGCTAGGAGAGGACTCTTTAAGTAGAGACACTACATACTGATATACACCTTAACATCAGCAGGAGAGGACTCTTTAAAGTAGAGACACTACATACTGATATACACCTGAACATCAGCTAGGAGAGGACTCTTTAAAGTAGAGACACTACATACTGATATACACCTGAACATCAGCAGGAGAGGACTCTTTAAAGTAGAGACACTACATACTTGATATACACCTGAACATCAGCAGGAGAGGACACTTTTAAAGTAGAGACACTACATACTGATATACACCTGAACATCAGCAGGAGAGGACTCTTTAAAGTAGAGACACTACATACTGATATACACCTGAACATCAGCAGGAGAGGACTCTTTAAAGTAGAGACACTACATATTGATATACACCTGAACATCAGCAGGAGAGGACTCTTTAAAGTAGAGACACTACATACTGATATACACCTGAACATTAGCAGGAGAGGACTCTTTAAAGTAGAGACACTATATACTGATATACACCTGAACATCAGCAGGAGAGGACTCTTTAAAGTAGAGACACTACATACTGATATACACCTGAACATCAGCAGGAGAGGACTCTTTAAGTAGAGACACTACATACTGATATACACCTGGACATCAGCAGGAGAGGACTCTTTAAAGTAGAGACACTACATACTGATATACACCTGAACATCAGCAGGAGAGGACTCTTTAAAGTAGAGACACTACATACTGATATACACCTGAACATCAGCAGGAGAGGACTCTTTAAAGTAGAGGCACTACAGACTAATATGAACCTGAACATCAGCAGGAGAGGACTCTTTAAAGTAGAGGCACTACAGACTGATATACACCTGAACTTCAGCAGGAGAGGACTCTTTAAAGTAGAGACACTACATACTGATATACACCTGAACATCAGCAGGAGAGGACTCTTTAAAGTAGAGACACTACATACTGGTATACACCTGAACATCAGCAGGAGAGGACTCTTTAAAGTAGAG